GTATAAAAATAACTATTACTGTAAACAAATAAAAATATTATAATCAAGGATTTTAATGGAAGAGGAAGTGATTATTGGTGGATACATGTATATTGTATTTATATGCACTAGGCTCCAAATCCACAATTTTTAAATTAATATTAGCAACTTTTCTTCAACACTAACTTAAAGCTGGATATTTTATTGTTTTCAACTAGTGTGCACTGCAGCAGCAGTTTTTTTCTCCCTTTTTTTTTTCTTTTATAGAATCACTTTTTAACCCAAAGCTACCAGCCAAACCTAAGTTGTTTCACTGAAAGAAGGGAACACTACTTCTCCAAACTAATCAATCAGTTGGAAAAGCACTTATCAGTGGTTTTTAATTATTTTAATGGATTATGTTTCCTATGAGTTTAAGGATATAATCTTTATTTGGAAGTCTCCTCAACTGGTCTTTCTCTTCATCTGTGAACTGAACTACAAAATAAAGACAATAAAATTTAACTCACAAACTGATTGCCTATTAAATGACATACATAACGTTCATTGTGTCTCTCTGGGTTAAAAAGCTAGGTTTTTCCATTATCTAGAACACATTTGTGATAATTCATGTCAGAATTAGGTTTGAATTTATTTCATTCTTGTAAAATTGCATATTAGGAAAGAAGATTTGGGCTATTTTGACTGTGCCATGATAGTTTCTAGCTCAGTCTCAGGATGTAAGGTGGAATTTTCCCTTCTTGGTGTTACACACGTCCTTTCAAGAGAGTTTGGTGTTTAATCAAGACAAAACTTACCTACCTGCGTCTAGCTTAATGATAAAATCACTTCTGTTTTCTCAATACCATTTTCTGAATAATGCACTGGAGATTATATGACTTTCTTGTAATCATCAGTTCTAAGTATTGAATGGTTAAAACACTTTCTTTTAAAGAATCCTATTAACGATGGTCATAATAGCAAAGAATACCTGTTTTCTCTTCTTGCTCACTTGGATGCTCTGTGTTATCCTACAAAATAGTTTCCAAATTCAAAAAAGTTGATCACTGGTTGAGGAAATGAAGCCATCAGTAACAAGAACTAGCCAAACCATATCTTGATGACAAAATGACCAGCTCTCAGTTGGCTTGTTAGCTCAGTTGGTAGGGCATTGATCACAGAGATCATGCATTCAAATCCTGTACAGGCCTGAATTATTTCTAGGCCCTATTTTCACTACTGCTTAAGAAGTGTTCGTCGTTGTGAAGATTGCTCCCATGTTCATTATTATCATCATCTCAGAAAGAAACATCATTTTGAGTTTGTGCACTATCTTTAATCATACCAGATCAAACAAAGATCATAATTCGGTGGTTGTCCTGTGGTCTTTATGTGCTTAACAGATGCATTTGTGTCACAGGACTCTCTGACATGATTACACTTTAAAGAAGTAGTACCTCAAAAGAGTTTTGTTTGTGCTGTTGCCATTTAACATCCCAAGGTGGCTTGTAATCCAAGAGATGCACTTA